AGCGGCCTCCGACAACTCTGCAGGGCCAGGCACCCCGCCTGCTCCACCTGCAGGAGCCCCAAGCTGTGTGTGAAGGAGCTGGTGAGTCCAGGCCCCATGGCCGCAGGGGTCGGGGGACCTAAAACCCCCTGTTCTGAGAACCTGGGGTGTCTAGGAGTTTAGAGACAGGATGGTATGAGTGCTTCGCTTCAAGGGGTATATTTTTCTAAGAAGGTGTGAGTTGTGCGTGTGAGTTTGATGCTCTATGTGTGCTTGTGTGTGATGTGGTTACTGCCTTGGTGTCGGTAGATGTGTTGTTCCCTGGAAGTCTGGGTAGTATTGCCCGTCGATGGGCCTGGGCTCTGTGGCAGTGGGTTGTGCGTGCATTGCTGAGAGCCAGCAGTGGTGTGTCTGTGTGTGTCTGAGCATCTGTGATGGCAGCCGTGTGAGTTCTCGAGTGTGTGGGTGTTGCAGCTGAGTTGGTGTACGTGTGTGTGGGGGGGTGTGTATTGTGTATCCCTGCTGCTGTGTGGGTTGAGAGGTTGGCATTTTGTGTGTCTCTAATGGGTGTGTGCATGTTGTATATTGTATCTGTGTTGCTGCTGTGTGTGTCTGTGTGTCTGTGGAAGGTAAGGGTTTGCATTCTTGGGGAACCCCCCTCGCTCAGGCCTTCCCTCTGAGGGGCCCAGGTCCATGTCCTCGGCTGGCCCCGGGATAATGGGACAGTGGTTCAGCCAGATCCCCCCCACCTCAGTGCCCAAAGGCCACTAATTGAAGCCAGGTTTTCATGGGCCGCCCCTCCTCCTCTGGCCATCAGCCTGTGGGTGGGGGTGGGGCGGGGGTTCTGGTCCCTCAGCCTTAAGTTTAGGGGCACCCAGGCCTTAGGGGTGCATCCGTCTTCACCTGCATATTCGTGACTGTGAGTGGAACCACTGTTTTCTAAAAACTCCAAACCCTGACATGGACCCTCCAGAGAGGCTCTGGTCTCTGAAAGTCCCGGCCACCGATGAGTGACACATATTGTGTCCCAGGCACTGCTATTTCTTGTCCTAACAGTAGCCAGGGAGGTGGCTGTTAGCCCATTTACAGATGAAGAAACCAAGGCTCAGAGAGGCCCCTGGACAAGTGGCTGGGCAGTGACTGCATACCTGAGCTGTGCTTTCTGTTCAGGTCTCTGACCTGTTGGCCCTGACTTGCTGTGATGTCCTGGGTAGCTCGTACTGTCTCTGGGCCTGAGTTCTCTCTTAGGTTAATGATTTTCTGAATCCCTGGAAAAAATTAGGACCCAGGAGCTCGGGCCAATATTGGAGGAATCGGACTGTGTTCTCCCAGAAGGAGGTGGGGCCCCTGGAGGGCAGACGGACGTCCAGCCTGATCCTCTAGAGCCATCCAGGCCACTTCTTCCCTTCTGTGGGGGAAACTGAGGCCCAGAGAGCCAGGGACTCATCTGTCAGTCAGCTGTCTCCTTCCCGACCAGCCTGGCTAGCTCGGGTGGGATTGTACCCCCACTTTGCCTCCACCTTTCTCAGGGAGCCAGGAGAGGGTGTGAGGCCCCCAGCATTTTGTGAAGTTTTAAAGAGCCAGTGATCATTTATGTGAGCTTGGGAAGCAGGGCAGGCTCCCTTTATCCTCTGCCCCAACTCCAAGGCTCCAGGGCTGTCGTGTGTTGTGGGGTATGTGAAAGTATGTATGTTAGAGTGGCATGGTATGTGTGTGTGTGTGAGAGAGCATGTGTGTGGTGTGTATATGGTGTGTGTATGTGGTATATGGTGTGTGTGTGAGTATATGATGTGTATGGCATGTATATGTGTGTGAGAGTGTGTGTGTGTGGTATGTGTGTCTGTGGCATGGTGTATATGTGTATGTGTAGTGTATGTGATATGTGTATGGTGTGTGTGAGTATGTGAGTGTTAGTGTGGCATGGTGTACATGTGTGAGTGTGTATGTGTGTGGTGTGTATGATGTGTGTGTGGTGTGCATATGATACTTGTGAGTATGTCATGTATGTATGGTTTATGCGTGTCATGTGTGTGTGGCACGGCGTATATGTGTGTGTGCTGTATATATATGTGATATGTGTATGGTGTGTGGAAGTGTATTAGCGTGGCATGGTGTATATGTGTGTGTGTGTGTGTGGTGTGTATGATATATGAGTATGTGATGTATGTATGATGTGTATGTGTAATATTATGTGATGTGTGTGTGAGTGTGTGTGTGTTTCTGGATTCCTCAGTGACCGGAGCTGAGCTGCCACTTGTTGGAACGAGGGTAACAGTGAACCAATGTCCCGGCTGGGTGGGGCCTAGGGTGGGAAACGTTGGCTGACCCTGGAGCTCTGCAGGGGCCGGAAGGCGGCTGCCCCTGAATTCCCTCTTTCCCTGTGAGAGCTACCCTGCACCAGGCACTTTCTGATCTCTGTCCCTCTGGTCCTAACACTCTGAGAGGTAAGACCTGTGCTCATAGGCCCTCAGCTTCTCTTCTCAACTTACAGAAGGGAAAGTGAGGCCCTGAGAGCCAGGGTTCCGGCCCAGGACCCACCGACTTCCAGCTGGCATTCTGTGCCCGGCTCTGTTGCTAGCCAGGGAGGTGGGTCTGACAGCCCCACCCCGCCCACACGAACTTCAGTGACTGAGCTTCACCAGCATCCCAGGAGGAAAGTCTTGGCTCATGGCCGACTTCTGCCACCATCAAATGCCTCTACTGGGCTCGATTTGAGGTGGAGGGGCATGTGTGTGTGTGTGAGTGACAGGCCGGACAAAGCTCAAAGTTGTCTGGAGGAATCATTAGTAACAAGCACCAGAGAGGGGAGGGTGGGAGGCTCCTGATACTGTGAGGAACCTGAACTCCTTGCTCCACTGAGGCCGCTCTGGGCCAGCCCTGGGCACCACCAGAGTGTGAGTGTGTGGAGTGTGTGTGTGGTGTGACGTGTGTGTGCGTGCGTGATGAGTGTGTGTGTGTGGCAGGTATGTGAGTGTGTGGGTGTATGTGTGTGTGATGTTTCTGTGAATGTGTATGATGTGTATGACTATGTGAAATATGAGTGTGTATATTTGTGTGTGGTGTGATATGAGTGTGTGTGATGTCAATGTGTGTGTGGTGTATGTGTGAGATGTGAGTGTGTGTGTCATGGTGTGGTGTGATAGGAGTATGTATGTGATATGAGTGTGTGGTGTGTGTGTGTGAGATCTATGTGTGGTGTGATGTGAACGTGTGTGTGTTGTATTGGTATGTGCGTGAGCAGGTGTGATGTGATGTGAGTGTGCGGGTATATGTGTGTGTGTCATATTTGTGTGTGTGTGGTGTACGAGTGTGTGTGAGTATCTGATCTGCTGGACTCTTGGAATCAGAGTACGGCTCAAAGCCCTGCTCTGCCGGTTGCCGTCTGTCTTTGGTCAGGTCACTTGCCTCCCTGCTCCTCCGTTTCCTGCCCTGTCAAATGGAGGCAGTAGGGGTATCTCAGGGCTTCGCAGGACTGAGTCCAGACGGGGCTTAGATGAGTAACCCAGGAGGAAAGCACGAGAGGACCAGGGCCCTCCAAACGACCCTTATCTGAGTGCTTTTTCCTCTTTGTGTCCTGGGATTATTTTTTGCCATCATTTTGAGAAAGAACTTTTTGGAGCCAGTTCGTACAAATATACTTCAGTAGAATTAATTTCAACCTGTGACACATATTGGGAGCCCCAGGTCACTTGGTGCAAGCCACTAGATGGCTGAGCCTCATTCATGCCTCAGCTCACCAAGTCAGTCACTCTGATGGGGTTCTGCCATTCCCAGTTAACAGGGCAGGAGGACCCTAGGCATAGGAGGTGTGACCCTCAGTGAGGGTGTGGGAAGCCCTGACTGCCTCCAGTCCAGGACCTTGCTGTGTAGCCTTGGACCTGCTCCTTGCCTTCTCTGGGCCTGTGTCTCAGCATCTGCCTTAGACAGGGCATCTGAAGGCCTCTAGTCAGTCTCCCAGCTTCATGGGGCCTGGGTCTGGGCTGGGGAGGGTTCCCAGAGGGTGGCATGGCTGCCCCTGAGTTTGTCGGGAGAGTTAGTGTTTGAGAAAACCAGGCTTCCCATAAACCTGGGCCATGAAGGATTTATTAATCAGCCGGGCTGTCTGGCCCAGATGGGGTCTGGGGGTTCACGCAAGGAGCAGCCTTGGGGGGAGGTGGCGGGCAGGCTCATCTGGTTCCCATTTGTGGTGCCGGTGGGGGGAGGGGTCGCAGGCTCCAGTTTTGTCTTTGCGCCTCAAAGGGGCCAGTGTCTCCCCCCACCCCCTGCCCCAGCCTCCCGGCCTTCTGCTCAGAGCTTCTGGAGGCTTCTAACTGTATGAATCTCCTGGGGAAGGAGAGAGAGCTAGGAGAGGTTAGCATTGGAGCTGCCCAGATATGGTAGCATGGAGCCAGGGCAGTGTGTGAGGACAAGACCCTAATAGAACGGGACCACAGAGGAGCTGGGGGCTGTCTAGGAGGGTTCCCTAGAGGAGGGGGGCTCTCAGCTCCTGCAGTCACTCACTCAATTTTTTTCCTACTCAGCTACTTCTGCCACTCTACCAGCCTGTGGTTCCTCTTACTTGGCAAGTCACTTAACTCTTCTCTGCCTCACTTTGCTTATCTGGGTCAGTGGTTCAAACACACCAGCCGCTTCACAGGAGAAGGATGAGGCAGTCTGCTTCCATAAAGTTGAACAGCCTTGGAAACCCTATGGGGCAGTTCTACTCTGTCCCGTAGGTCACTTTGAGTCAGAATCAACTAGATGGCAGTGGGTTTGGTTTGTTTTTTGGTTATCTCTTTGGGAAAGCATCCAATGAGAGATTCCATGTAAGAAACTGAAAATGGTGCTTGGCATGTGGTCATCAGCAAAAAACCAACTAGCTGCTATTGTGTCCATTCCAACTCATGATGTCCCCATGCTAGGACATGGCCAGAGTTCCCTGCTCCTGCTCAGGGTTTCTGAGCTCCAAGACTCTGGAGTCCTGCCCTGACTGTCCCCCCCCCCCTAACCCCCGTCGTGTGCCCACAGGCCCCGGAGACAGCATGGTTCCTGTGGTGGCCCTGACCCTCATCTCTCTGCTGCTGCTCCCGAGTCCTGTGCCTGCCGGGGCCCACTCGGTGCCCCTGCGCGTTGCCTGGTTGGAGGATGCAGGGGGCAGTGGGGAGGCCGAGGGCTCGTCGGCCTCCTCTCCGAGCCTGCCAGCCCCCTGGACGCCGGCCCTCAGCCCCACGTCAGTGGGGCCCCAGCCCACGGTGCTGGCTGGCCCCCCCCCACCCACCAACTTCTTGGACGGGATCGTGGATTTCTTCCGCCAGTACGTGATGCTCATCGCGGTGGTGGGCTCGCTGGTGTTCCTGCTCATGTTCATTGTCTGCGCCGCGCTCATCACCCGCCAGAAGCACAAGGCCTCTGCCTACTACCCTTCATCCTTCCCCAAGAAGAAGTACGTGGACCAGAGTGACCGGGCCGGGGGCCCTCGGGCCTTCAGTGAAGTCCCGGACCGGGCTCCCGATGACCGGCCCGAGGAGGCCCTGGACTCGTCCCAGCAGCTGCAGGCCGACATCCTCGCTGCCACTCAGAACCTCAAGTCTCCCACCAAGGCTGCCCTGGGCGGCGGGGAAGGAGCCAAGATGGTGGAGTGCAGGCCAGAGAGGGAGGAGGAGGAGGAAAACAGCCAGGAGGCCAAAGGGTCAGAGAGCTCTCAGGGGCCAGAGAAGCCCTGTTCAACCGGAGCCCAGGGGGGCCTGGCAGCTGGCGAGGGCCAAGGGGAGCCAAACACGGTGTCCTCGTTAGCCCAGGAAGCTGGGGACCCTGCTGACCCCCCAGAAAGCCCTTGTGCTTGCAACAGTGTCACCCCCAGCGTCTAACAGCCCCCTTGGGCCCTGACTGTCAGCCCCCCAAGTGGTCACCTTGGGCATGACAAAGCCCCTGACTGCTCCCAGACACCACCCTCTTGGCCATCCCTCTGACAAACCCCAGACCATCCTGATCCTTCCAGAACCATTTGCCTCTGCATCCCCAACAGGCTGCCTCCCCCAGCACAGCTCCTCTGGGGAGATGAGCACTGTTGGAGCCACCATAGAACAGCCCATGAAGTCAGCCATGTAAACTGAGACACATTGAGTCGTGAGTTCAACAAGGCAGCCTCACCCCTCTTCCATCAAGACAGAAGAGAGAAACAGCGAGTAAGCGTTTTGGAAGAGGTCGCTTGGGAGGCCCGCATGGTGCCGTCTGGGGTGACGCAGGTTCAGGACTGCACCTGGTCTCCATGCTTCGTGTCCCTCAACTGCAAATATTTTCGTGTCGCTGTGCCTGTGTCCAGAGCCACCAGAGCAGGAGAGGTTCTGATTAATTTGGGAACTTTTGCAAGGGACTCTATACATATGATGACAGGTCCAAGACGAGCATTTTTCAAAGTGGGTTCCCTGAGATACCCCATGGGAAAAGGATTTCAAACGACTGGAGGAACCACTTTCTCTCCATCCCCCTCCCCTCAAAGGCTCTGACAAATCCTGCCCTCAAGGCCCCTGGTGAATTTGGGTTCGCTTAGCTTTCCCCAAACTCATTTTGACAACGGAGGATGGATACATATATATATATATATATATTTGTTGTTGTTGTTGTTGTTTTAAATAGTACCAGGAAAATCCTTTGGAGGTAATTCTGGAAACTACTACTCTTAATTTTCCCCAAGGTCTCCCCCACCCCACCCCCAGTTTCTGGTTGGTCCAGGTTTGGGGTGTGCGGTGTGGGGACTTGCTGCCCAAGCAACCTCTGCCGAGGGGTGAATTGGGGTAAATAAATTGGACTCTTCCTTTCAGACCCCAGAAGCAGCCTAGAGGCTGAGAGGCGGTATAGGACCCCCCACTCTTGTTGGAACCTGAGGAAAGGGGAAAGGGTTTCTGGAGCAGGGGGCTCTAGCCCCGCCCTTTACTCTGCGCATGGGGGCTGGCAGCTGAGCCCATAGCAGTGTTAGTCCTCAACAGGGAGCCCGGGCTCCCCCTGACTGACGGGGCCAGGGCCCCCCCGTCCCACCATCCAGTGTTCTCTGCACAGACCCTGGGTGCTGAGATGCCACAACCAGCACAATAAACCTCTATTCTGCCTTGAGTCTCACTGCTTTTCTGAGAGGGATGCGCCTGATGCAGAGGGGGGTCCCTGTGCTATTGCATGGGGGTGGGGCAGACACATCAGCCAGGCCCTAGAGCTGAATGGGCAGATTAGTGGGGGAAAGGGAGGAGGAACAAGCACCCCACTAGGAATGATCTGAGAACCAGCTCTGGCCTTGTGGATTCTGTGTGGCCCTGGCCAAGTTGCCCAACTTCTCTGGATGTTATAGGCTCTGTACTTACTGGCTTTGTGACCGCGAGGGAGTCACTGCCCCTCTCTGTTTCCTGCTGCAAGATTAGCAGTGGAGCGGCTCCCAGGCTGGGGTAGAGGGTGGTTGGGACAGGAATGTGCCTCCTCCCTTCGTCCCACCTCCGGACTCATTTGCCCATGGCCAGTGCCCCACTCCGCGCACCCTTGGCGGGGTCCTTCGGGCTGGCCACAGCCCTGGTCTTCAAGCTGTCTCTCCATTTGTCTCCTCACCACCAGGCTCCTCCTCGGCTTTGATGGCAGGTTCTAGTGGCGACTTCTCCCCTCCTCCCTGGGCCCTGGAGCCACCAGCTGGGATCCAGATGTGGCTGAGGCTGGGAGGCTTATAAGGATTCCTGGGGTGATGGGGGCAGGCTGGCCATCCCCTCGCAGCCCCTCCCACCTAGTGACCCCACATCATCTGGAAGGGGCTGAGGTTTGGTTTCATAACACACAATGGCCTCTGTCTGGCTCAGTGGGGAAGGGCCTGCCTTCTCCATCTCCACCCAGCCCAGCTGCTGTCCGAGAACATCAGAAGGGTCGCTCTCTGGATGCTGTGTGGCCCTGGCCAAGTCGCTCAACTTCTCTGGGTGTGGCAGGCTCTCTGCTTATCCCTGTGCTCCTGGGGAGATTCCAGAAGCTGAGGTGTGGCTGGGAAGTGCATTAAGCTTCCCCATAACATTAAAACAAAAACAAACAACCTGTAAGAAGATGATGTTTTCAGGCAGGAGATCTTTGGAGAGCAAGTGGGAAGGAGTTTCCCCTTGAGCTCTGTGATCACTGATGGACTCTTGACGACCCTGTGTGGGTCAGAGCAGAGCTGTGGTCCACAGGGTTTTCACTGGCTGATGTTTCAGAAGTAGATTGCCAGGCCTTTCCTCCAAGGCACCTCAACCTTTCAGTTAACAACCAAGTGCTCACTATTTGCACCACCCAACTCAACAGCCACTGGTTTGGTCGCAGCCTCCCGATTAATGCTCACTTGGACCCTTCGGAACATGTGGCATGTGTGGCCTGCATCCCCCAGGACTGGCTGGGAGTGATGCAAAGAGGGTTAAGGAAATGTCTTGAGCTCCAGCCCAGGAGTCAACCTGTCCCTCCCTCTGAACTTTTGCATTAACTGTTCCTTCTTCATTTGACACCCTTCCCATCACTCTTCCTTTTGTCCTTTCCTCCTGCGTGCCTTCCCCGATCACCCCGGCTTCTCGTTCCCCAGTCTCCAGGCCAGTGAGTGCTCCATGATAATACTAGCTCCCAGCAGATAACCCCCTGTTATGTGCCAGGGGTCCCTGGGGGGTACAAATGGTTAAGCACTTGGCTACTAACCAATAGTTTGGCATTTCGAACCCACCCAGGGGTGACTTGGAAGAAAGCCCTGGCAATCTACTTCCCAAAGGTCAGCCACTGAAAACCCAGTGGAACACAGTTCTGCTCTGAAACACATGGGGTTGCCATGAGCCACAATCAGTTTGACGGCAGCTAGTTTGCTTTTTTGTTGTTGCGCTGTTCTAAGTTGTTGTTGTTGTTATGTGCTGTCGAGTCAGACCTGACTCATAGTGACCCCTCCTTGGGTTTCCGAGGCAGTATCACTACGGAAGTAGTTTGCCCCATCTTCCTTCCAAGGAGTGGCTGGTGAGTTTGAACCATCAGCCTTCTGGTTAGTAGTCAAGTGCTTTAGCTCCCGTTCTAAGTAGTGGACATCATTAATTCACTGAGCCCCACAGTCCTATGAGACGGGTACTGTTATGATCTCTATGTCACAGGTAACAAAACTGAGGCCCAGAGAGGCGCTGTCAATTGCCCAGGTCACACAGTCAGGATTCCAACCCTGCAGCGTGACCCAGAGTCTGAGCTCCTCTCCTCTGACCTCTGTAGGTTCTTTGATGAATTAGTGAATGAACAAATGAAGGAAGCAATGAATGAAGCCTGTAAGGAGGAGACATCAGGGCCCCACTCTTACTTGGAGCACTCTAATCTTCTCCTGAGAGCTCTGGTGGCTTAGTGACTAAGGCACTTACTATTAACTATTAACCAGAAGGTTGGCGGTTCAAACCCACCAGCCACTCCTTGGAAGGAAGGTTGGGCAATCTACTTCTGTAATGATCCTGCTTCGGAAACCCAACGAGGGGTCGCTATGAGTTGGATACAACTCCATGGCAGTGAGTTTGGTTTTTGGTTTTTAATCTTTTCCCACCTCTGTGAGGGAGTTACCCAGGAGGGCATGTTCTGGACACATGCCTGGGCTGGCCCCATGGAGAGGGACCCATGTTAAGGCGCTGATATTTGGAGGTATGTGGGTGGGAGGGATCTGGGGAGGGGGACTGGGTTTGGGGGTGGGAGGTGAGGGTTCTGCTACTCCTAGGGGCCCCGAGAGTCTGCCAGGACCTGAACAGGCCCCCACTGTCCCAGGCTTGTAAAATGGAGCAGCTGCCCAGGCCTGGGCATCTGTCCCGGGGCCAGGCCTGCTGTTGCCATAAAGTGGAAGGGGGAGGGCACACAAAACCACCCGAGACGTGAGTCCCGCAACCCCGAGACATGAGCTCAGTGTCAGAGAGGGGCTTCTGGTGACTGGTGGTGGGATGCTGGTGCTGGAGAGCTGGAGGTTGGCAGCAGGGCCCCTCAGCCCCTGCCCTGCTCGGATCAGTCCCAGGGGCTGTGTATTCACTGGCTGGGGGTCAGATTTGGGGGGCTGGGGCAAGAGGGGCCAGGACTAACATCCCCTGGGCACCACTTTGTGTTGGGCACACCCTCTCTAACCCCGGGATTAGCCTTGTCTGGGTTCAATCCCATTTCCGCCATTTCCTGGACGTATGGCCCTGGGTAATTCTCTCCCTTGCCCCAGCCTCTGAGTCTGTGTGAAGTGGAGGCTTTACCCTGCACACTGAGATCACTTGGGAGCTTTGAAAAATGACTCCTGGGCCTCCCAGACCCATTACCTGAGAATCTCTGTGGGTGTGGCTGGCCATGTATCACTGACAAGGTGCCAAATCCTGAAGAGAGGTGCCTGGGGTCTTGGTCCCCCAGTGTCCCCACCTCAGCCCAGTGCCAGGACCTCTGTGGGTGCTCCATAGGTGTCACACATTGAAGCCACACACTTGCAGAGAGACAATATCATTCCTCCTATCTAGTTGATGGGGACACAGGATTAGATGATTCTGACTCACGGTGAGCCCATGTCACAAAGCAGAACTGCCCTGTAGGGTTTTCTAAGCTGTCATTTTTCTGGGAGCCTATTTCCAGGTCATTTTCCTGCAGAGCAACTGGGTGGGTTTCAGCAGCCAACCTTTCCGTTAGCAGTCGAGACAACCTGAGGGCTGTAAGAGCACATGGAGGCCATCCACTTAACTGCTGTCCCACCAGGGCTCCTTGCTGCCATTTTATAGATGAGGAAACTGAGGAGGAGCTATGACTTGCCTGAAGTCACATAGCTGGACACAGCTAAGATTGGAACCCAAGTGTGGTATGATGGATCCCTTTTATATGGCCTGTCCTGCCATGGTTTTGTAACTTC